TCAAACACTTCACGTTTTTCCTTTTGTGGGAATTTTAAACTGTAACTATTCCTCAGTATCTTCAAGGGACTGCTCCCAGGACTATCTGCAGAAACTAAAGTCTATACATTCAAGTATATTATGTTAATAGATTAGTATTAGCATATTGGCAGTGCATTTTCTCATGTATACTTTAAGTCAACTCTAGGTTACTTGTCACGCCTAATACAATACAAAGTTGTTTCATTATTTAGAAAGTAATGATAACGGAAAAAAAAGTCTTACAGATGCAGGATTTGTTTTTGAGTACTTGTTGTGTGAGTTGTGGTGTGAGCTGACTACCAGCATCATGCATACCACTAAAGAAAGAAGCAGGCAGGAATCTTAAGTTTTTGAAGGCGAAATGTTCAGGACAGGGTCACAGTTTGAACAGCCACATTGGTGGCACAGCTTTGGAGGCTCTGCTGAGCAGTGGTCCTCAACCCTCCTAACACTGTGACCCTTTAACACAGTTCTCATGTTGTGGTGACCCCCCCTCCCCAAACCCGAAAAATCATTTTCATTGCTACTTCATAACTGTAATTTTGCTACTGTTATGAACCTGTGTTTTCTGATGGATTTAGGCAACCCCTGTGAATGGATCAGTCAACCCCAAAGGGGTTGCGACCCACAGGTTAAGAACCACTACCGTAGTGTTTTTCAGTGCGTAGAGCCTTGCTCAAAGAAGTGACTGACACTTTGCAAGCCGCTCTGACGGATGACCAGGTACCACCAGCCCCATCTCATGCTGCCATACCCTCAAGCAGCATCTTCCCTGCCATGGACTGTATCTCCAAACCATGAGTCAAAATAAAATGCCCCCCCTTACCTTGCTGGCCACCAGATATTTGATTACAGCCACAAGAATGTCATTAATACTAGTCATCTCTTGGTGGCTGCTGATTGGTGATTGGCTGCAACAAGCTGAGTATATAGATAATGCCTATGGGAAACAGACATCTCCAGAGTGCAACAGCCACATTCACACTTCAGCTCGGGAATTTACTTCTCCAAGCTTTAGTTGTTTTTAGCTACAGGTAAGGATCACACCAGCCTGGCTGAACTGAAATGACTCTGATGACGAAGACTTCAGGCAGAGCATCTTACACGCAGGGTTGTTGTGGTATCTTTTGCCGATGGTGATGTCACAATTGCACAGGATGTGGGCACAGTTGCCCATGGTCGGGTGTTCACCACCATACGTATTACATTGTGGGCAATCACATGCAAGCCAGACTGATGAAGCTAGGGGAAAAAAAAAAAAAAAACTCTAGAAGCCATGTGATACCTTAAAGTCAGGGTGGAAAAGAGTAAAGTAATTAAGTAAATCTAAAATGATCATATTTGGTAAGCTGAAAGAAGGAATCTGAATAGAAAAAAAGTGGGAGGCATGGAGAAGACAGAGAGACAACATGAACAGAGAAATCCAGAAGGAAAGTTCTTACTATTAATGGCCAAGGATTCGGGGTTTCATCAGAGGTAGTTTCATACTTCTCAGGTAAAGTGCTCACAGCATTTAGGATAGAAGGAAGCACATCGTGCTAAAACTCTTAGTACTCCTGGAGACCATCTCATTGCAGTAGGACAGAGCCTGGCTCTGGCTCTGGCTCGGCAAGATCTTTGGTCCCAAATGGGCCTCGGAACAGATTTTTATATTGTGCTAAGTATCCAGTGTTGAGGCTGGAGGCCTGAGGGCTGAAGGATTCTACTGAGGTCCTCACTGGCAGCTGTGCTGCAAGGTTTATTGCAACAGCACATCAGAGGCTGTGAATGTATCTTCTCCATCCCTCCCTTCCTTCCTCTTCATTCATTAATAGTTTTTACCATGTGGTTATTTTGTTTGTTGGTTTTTTAGGTCCTTGGACTCCAAGGCTGTGATATATGATAGAAACAAACTCCGAGCCCCACAGAGGCCCTCTTTCCAAGCTTGTGCCCAGGAAGTCCATCTAGCTGGAAAGGGGTGGCTGAAAGTGTTGCTTAATTAAACAGATCCATTGCAGCAAGCGCGGGTTTATTTCATGAATATTAAAAGACTGACTGGGTGAATGAGTTTATGATATGAATCTAGACCTGGCAAAATTATAAAAACCCAGGTCCCCAGTGAAGACGTAATGAATAGGACTCATTTCTGGGAGAACGAAACGGTGCCTCTCTCAAAGGATTTAGAGTTTTCTGCAATGTAGTTAGCATCCATGGCCCCATTAAAAGCTCTTATTTTCCCCTAATTTGTGCCATTTAGAACTGATTTTCATTTAACTTTCCCACGGCTCATTTCTCTCCTGCAAGAACATTTTCATATGATTCCCTGATAAAGTCCACGTGGAAACACATTTCATTATAAAGCTATAATAATAAAATCAGCACCGGCCAGACAGCAACACCCAGCAGTCGGAGAGAAAAGACGACAGCGGGAAATCAGACCCCAAAGAGTTAATTTTTCTTTTTAAAATTCCCCTTGCATTCTTGCCTAATGAGGGTGGTTTTGAACCACCCACCTCCCCTGGGGAAGCCTGATGAACAAGGGCTGTAGGAGACAGAGCTCATTGCTCCCCCTCATGCCAGATCTTGAGGAAAAGGCCATTACCTCTTTTGCATTGCATTTTATTGTCCTTTGTAAAATACTCCTGGTGCTGTAGAGTGGGCTGCACTGGGAGAGTTAAATGAAAGACATTTTGCAAACTGGGTACCTTCAAAAATGTGTTTCGGTTTATCTAAGACTCATTGATATCTTCCAAAACATAGCCTTCTCCTGTCCCCTGCCAAACACTGACAAGTTTCTCTCTCCCTCCATCTCTGTCTCTGTCTCTCTCTTCAGCAAATGTGTGTGTGTGTGTGTATGTGTGTGTGTAGTACACATATATGTGAAGAGTATAAATTGTATATGTTTGTCTATATTAGCTCAGTCTTATTTAAGGTCCAAATTATAGAGATTTTTAATAGAACCAGAGTGAACAAACTATTAAGATACTGCACGACCTAGAGATAATCACAGACAGGGTAGAGCTGAGGCCTTCCATGAGTGTTTCCTCCCCAGCCATGCACACTGTGGTGGTCCTAACTACCATGCTGGGCTGGAATGCTTGGACCTCAACATCACAGGCTATGGAGACAGAGGTAATGGATTTACTTGGGCATTGAGGGGAGGACAGGCATTAATCACCGAGAATGAACAGGATTAAAATAGAGACCATGATTGGGAATACAGCTTACCAGTACAGTGCCTGCTCAGCCTAGACAAAGCTGTGGGTTTAATTTTCAGCACTAAAGATAAAAAATGGAATGTACACATGGAGAAGGGAAAAACGTCAATTAACCCCACAAGACTGGAGAATGTCTTTGAAGAGGCAGTGGGTTTTCTACCCTTAACTGAGAAGATGGCTCATCATCTTTCTCCGCAGACCTTCCCTGTGCTTTGCAGTAGTCTGTCATTGTGGTTCTCAGACCACCCGGGGGGGGCGGAGGGGGGAATAAAAGACAGCAAATCTATGCATGCCGAGGCAGGTACATGCATCTGAGCAGTTTTTCATTTCCCGTCTGATCTTGGGGCTTACATGGGAGGGAGTATGGTGTAGACGTGTAAGCTCTTCTTGTATTGATAGCTTAAGAAAACTGGGTATGTTACCCAGAGGATTTCCCACCCATTTTCTATTCAGGTTAGCTTTTAAATCTAATTTTGATCTATTGCTTAGTTGCTTGAAGGGATTCTTTGTGCCTTCTTGTGTTCCATATTAAAGTGTTTATGAAAATACATATTACTATGCATTAAAGGATAGGGACAGATAACACAGAAATTCAGAGAAAGCCGCATTCTACTGGTGTGCCTGGACAAGATAAATCCTTGGTTGTTAGCTGAGTACCTGTCTGATAGAATCTTGCCTTTTTGCTTTGGGAGATTCTTCTCTTCCCTCTACTGTCCTGTGAGAGTAGGAGCAGACTTTTCTTAGCTGTAAGTAGCTGCCTCTTTATTCTGTCCCCCTGCCACTCCCACCCTGCCACTCTGTTCTTTTTTGTTTGCTTGTGTTGTTTTTCTATTTTGTTTTGTTGTTTGTTTTATTGTTTGTTTTTCGAAACAGGGTTTCTCTGTGTAGCTTTGGAGACTGTCCTGGATCCAGCTCTTGTAGACCAGGCTAGTCTCGAACTCGCAGAGATCCTTCTGCCTCTGCCTCTGCCTCCCGAGTGCTGGGATTAAAGGCGTGCGCCACCGCCCAGCTACCACTCTGTTCTCCTCCCCCTCCCCACACACATCCTGTCTTCCTTTCTCCTCTGCTTTTGCCCATGCTCGGTCTTCACCCCATGCTCTCCTTTACCTCGTGAGCTCTGTGTGCCAGGGCTAAATAGAATTCCAAGGTTAAAAACAGTCCCTGACATTGCGAATCCTAAGAACTAGCGTCTCCAGTCACTTTGTCACACGTGATTTCAGTGAGCATGCGGGCAGAGCTCCAAGCTTTGTCCCCTTGTCCCACTACACTGTGCTTTTCCTTGCCTTTACCTGGGACTTACGGGCTGTGTTTCTACTTGGGCTCTGCCCAGGCTTCTACAGTTTTATGGAATTAGAAAGGAGGACATGAGAAGATAGAGATATTTGGCCCCTGTTTAGAAGGAAAAGCTTAATTGCATCTTTGGTAGGAGACTGCATACTTCTTTTCTACTCTGCCTGTTCCAAGTCTTCTCTGTGAGTCAGGAGGTTTTATTTTCCCTATGCCTCTTACAGAAAGTCTGCTCCTGGTGGGGAACGGCTGTCCTTTGCTCTTGTGTGTGAAGGAATACCATCAGACTTCAGTCGATTTTCTTGTGTACTTCTTCAGGCAGCTTGCTAAATTCAGAGCAGCCACATATGTCTTCCTTGGGGGAGGATATGATTTGGCTAATAGACCACCGTGCCACTTCTCAGGTTATGTTCTGCGGGCATTACTAAAGGAGTTTCTATGACTTGAATAGTTGCACATGATTTCTTTTTCTTTCTTTCTCCCTGCTTTTGACAGGTTCATGAAGCGGTCCCGTGTTACAGTGAGTGCAATCAATATTCCTGGGTTGTAGAACACTGGTCTCCATGCAAAATCAACAATGAGCTGAGATCTCCACGCTGTGGAAAAGGAACACAATCTAGAAGAATCAGGTGTGTGACATTGAACAGACTGAGCATTAGTGAGCTTCCTAAAAAAAAAAAAAATACTGGTGTTGCTATCCAGAAACCTGATGATAGCCATTCTGTGTCCTCTGACTATGCTGAACTTGAGAATCTATGGAAGCTAATATATGCCTCCTACCCTGTGAGCAGCGGGAAGACCTCTGTAGTCCATCACTTATGATCTTTACTATTTCCTAATTATACTGGGAACAGTTCACTGCAAGGAGTAGATCAGTGTCTTCTCCTTGACTCCTAGCCACCACTGCTAACACATCAAGAGATTCTCACTGTTTTGCCATATCTCAATTTCAGCACGGGTGGCTTTTAATCTATTTGGGGATGCTATTGCATCACACTGAAAAGGGTAACTTAAACCATTCATAATTAGCCCCACATACTAAAATTCAATGTGATCTACATATAATATTTATACATCTTAACAAAATAAGCACATCTATAAAACAGTTGTATATTTTGGGCCTCTCTGGGGAAGCTTGTCAAAGGATTTTTGTCCTGTACATTAAGCCCTGGAAGCAAAAGCATCCTCTATCTGAGTTTGCCAGGTTGGTACATTTAGAGATAACTTGGAACCCAAGAACAACTGCCTTCACCACAAAGCACAACAGCAATAAAATGATGCCATTTGGACAAGTAAAAGCTGAAGCATTGATACACAGTTAGCAGTATGTAAAATAAGAAGGAAGATTAGTGTCACTGATTACCCACCTGAATAGCACAGGGCATTAGTTTTCCAGATGTAGAAAATCCCACCACAAAAGCATAGAGGACACTAGCTAGAAACCTATCTCCAAGGAATAGACTGCTTACTTGTGTTGACTGTGACCTCGGGGAAACGTCATCATTCAGTAATTCACCCCATAATGGCCACTTTAGCAGTTCCAGTGCTTCAAGAGCTCAGAAAGGTATGGCAAAAGCAATAGTAAGTGGCAGAATTATAAAGATGTTTCTCACTAGCCCAGGCAGAAGCTAGCTGAGAACTCACTTCCCTTTCCTAGTGTCCACAGTCTCTATGGCGCAGGTTCTAGCGGACTTTGGGCCATTTCTTTGTAAGAACCTCTGCCTTGTATCATACTCTCACATGACTGTGAAAAGTGACTGGCCAAGCAGGTTTATAAGACATCATCTTGCACTTCCTTCCTGTTTAGGCCTCTTTGCAATCTTAAAAGGAAACCTCAAGGAAGGTAGAAAGCTTTAAAAGAACCAATTGCTCCTGACAGAACTGTTTTACACTAATGGAGGAAAACACAGGCATCTAAGCTCCTTGAAACCATACCTCTCAGCTCATACATATGCAGCCTGATACATTAAAAATAAACACATAATGAATACAGCTAACAGATGTTCTTATGTGGCATACTAATTCTACCCCTCCACAAATCAGTCTGTCAAAGTGCTGGCCCCTGGGCACCTCCCACTGCAGTAGAGATAAACGAAATAAGGTAGTTAGAGGAAAAGCCAGGCAGTGTACCTGCCCTAGTCCAATCTGAATGGTATCTGCATGAGAAGAGGAGATTGGGAGGCTAAGCATGGTGGTGTATTTGCAAAGCAGATGCAGAAGGAACAGAAGTTTGGGGCCAACATGAACCACATGAGGCCCCCTCTACAATGCAAAATAATGGAAGGGGAGATAAGGTCACAGATGCATGCAGAGGGAAAACCATTGACACAGGGCAAAAGAATGCAATGTTCTTGGGTTGTGGAACGCCTGTCTCCATGCAGAATCAACAATGAGCTGAGATCTCCACGCTGTGGAAAAGGGACACAATCAGATGTCTAGATTTTAGAATGAGGAGAAAAATACATCTGTATTGCCTATGCTACCTTCTCATGATGTTTTTCTGTTTGCTATGGTGGTCCTAGCTGACAAGCATGCGCTCGCTGTTAATGTCATATGTGAAGCAAATCTTCCAGGCACAATGGACCACAAACTATTACTGATCTTAATACGACCTACGATGACTGAAACAGAGTATCTCTTCCCTTTCTTACAACCTCAGTGCTAGAATACTGCTTCACTCTTGGTTCATGACTGTGATAACCTTCAGTCCAAGCCAAATTTATGATCTTTCTGCTTCCTATGTCCCAGACATGGTTCTAGGTATGGGAAGTAAAATAGTGAACAAGGAGTATCTGTTTCCTCAATAAAAACTAAAAATGGCAAAAAAAAACCAAACACATGGATTAATTATAAGATAAGATGGCGTTCTCTTTAAAATGCCAAGAATAAAACAGCAGTGGGTTTGGAGTTGTAGAGGTCCAACTTTAGAGAGATCGGTCAACAAAAGTGAAATCTGGGCACAAACCCGAATAAGATGAGAGACCTGCCTGGGTGTAAAAGAGCATCCCCTGGGAAAGCAGCATGTGACAGATGCTGCCTGTCTTGATTGGAGAATGACCAGATGTCCCATATAGCTGGTGCTGGCATGAAAACTATGATGTATTCTTAAAGAAGGTGAAGGCAGTACATTATTCAGTATGAAGCCATGAAGCTATGGGAGGTTGGGGGTAGAGGGGTAGAGAGAGGTCCCCTTTATACATGTCCAAAAGTACCAGGTAGGGGTGGAACAGTGAAGGTTCTGAAGGGTACAGAAATTTGGAAGCGAAGATACAGGTTTGAGGCCATTGCAGAATTCCAGGTGAGAGAGGCTGTCAGTTGAATTGGGTTTAATAAATTAAAGATAATGAGAATGTCAAACTTAGGATAAATTTCAAAGCTACAGAACATGGTATATGATGATAAAATGGCCATAGAATGGGAAAGAAGGAAATATAAAGATTGTTAACTGGCCTGATCAACAGGAGGGATGGTGGAACCATTTGTCAAGTTGGGAAATGTGAGAACCAGGCTTGACAGGAAAACAAGTTAGCTTTCAAACACGTGAAATTTGAGATATGATATTAGCTTTCCAAATGATCTATTACAGGCTGGTATTCAGAGGAGAGATTAAGGTTATAAACGTCACTGTCATTAGCTTATAAATTTGCTATATGTTGATAACGTTTTGATCCCTAGGTAACTCTAACATTTATAAGTTAGAAAGACTCAAAGAGAATGTTTCTAAAACGGAGACCAATAAATATCCAGGGAAATAAGAAGAAAACAAAGGGAATAAAGGCAAGAAGAGAGTTTTGTTTGCCTTTTTAAAAAAAAAAATGCAGTAATCAATTGTCTCAAATGCCACCGAGTTCCCTGAGGTAAGCACTGATGGCTGAACTTGGTGATAGCGGGTCAGAATGACTCCGATAAGAGGATTGTCTACTATGCAATGGAACCCTGACTAATGGGGTTCAAGATGTAACCGTGGAGGGAAGAAAAGGCAGGAAGTGTTGACAGCAAACACCAGGAATGCCTAAAAGCAGTTTTGCAGCTTCTGAGTGAAGTGAGTGATTCCTGAAGAGGAGATGGGCAAGAAAATTGATGGCATGGGGTAGATAATGGATGGATGACTGCATTTCATCTGGGAATCACCTTCAATTTCAGTCTTCTTAATCTTCACTGGCGGACCGCTCTGGGTTTCTGGAAACACTTCTCCTCCAGTCGTGAGCGAAACAGATAATTCTAATAGCCAGTATTCTGGGAGCACAGTGAAAGGATTCTAGTGTGGCAGAGAAAACAGCAGCCCCCAAAGATGTGTGCATTCTAATTCCTAGAATCTGATATGTGGAGAGAGAGAGAGAGAGAGAGAGAGAGAGAGAGAGAGAGAGAGAGAGAGAGAGAGAGAGAGAGAGAGAGAGAGAATTGTCAGGCATTGTATGGTTAAGGTAAAGACCTTGCTGTAGAATAACTCTCTAAGCTGTCTGGGTGGGCACATTCATTCACAAGAAACTTAAAAGTGGTAGAGGGGGTGAGAAATAAGAGGACTTAACAACAGTAGGAAGATATGAAGAACTGTGAGGATTCTGCTTTGTAGGCGGAAGAAAGTAGCACCAAAGACAGGCAGTGACTTCTGAAGCCTGAAAAACCAAAGAAACATTTCTAGAGTTGCTTCTCTGTCAACCCTTGCAGATTGTGTGAATTGCAGGAGGACATCTGGGGGTCTAGATACCTGTTAGACACATTTCCAAAATCCTTCTAGCATTTTACGCCATCTTCACCCCAACACCCCATCCCAAATACTTGGTATTACAAATTCTAGAATTTTCTTTGAGAGGTTTCTATAATATAAATGTAATTACTCTCCTTATTGTCTCTTAAAGGCTCAATATTCAATATGAGCCATCTAATTTGTGGCAAATATCTTGTACCTGGTGCCCGGTAGTTGGAAGATAGGCCTTTCTGCACCCCATTACTATGAACACAGTTTTGTTCCTGAGGTTCTGCAAGAGGAGAGAAGAGGAAGCTGTGGCTACAGCAAAATGCGACTCTTGTAATCATCACCATGAGGTGCTCTTTGGTGGCGAATACCTTTGTTACTTACTGCTCTTGTGATATATTGGAAATGAGCAGAAACCGATGTCTATGTCCACTGGCTATCATTAGCCAGAAGACTTAACTTCTCTTTCTCAGTGAAACAAGAACACCAGCTCGGTGTATGAGATCTAGAAAGAACGCACCTTCTAGCTTCCTCATTTTGTCCTGTGAAAGAGACTGAAGCCGTTCTATGTGCCCTCCTTCTCCTATTGACCCTAACTCGGAAGGAATGGAAGCCTAGAGAGGCCCTGGTGCCAAGCCTCCCCCCCCCCATGCCGACATTACTCTTCCTTTCTACTCACTCTGCTCCGTTGCTCCCCTGTACAGTACGGTTAGACTTTTATCTTTCATTTCCCACCTCATTTCCCGAAGTTGTTTTTCTGTTTTAATGCATTAAAAGAAACTCTTCTGATGAAAGACAGCATAATTTTGTGTGTGGAGGGAGACACCACAGTGCTTCAGAACATCACTCTCAAAATGCAGTGAGCACCCTGGTATCTCTAGCAAATGCCTTGTGTCCCATCTGTCTGTCCCAGCCTGGCCTCAAACAGCCCCACAGTCACAGTGTTCATGCCTCGGACTCCTACATCTTGGGACGTTGATATCCACCATCTGGATATCACTGCTATTTTTATGTTCACTTCTATTGTTATCTCCCCCACCCCCCAAAAAAGCACTCACAAATAATGGCGACTATGTCTAATTTTCTACTGGTTTTGTACCTCAATAACCAGGTCCTGGAACAATAGTAAGCCGTCAGAATTCTTTATTAAATAAGGCCAGGCCACACTTGTAATCTCCAGCACTTAAGAAGTAACGCTGGGAGCATCGGAAGTTCAAAGGCCACCCTGGAGTACATAAAACCTTGACTCAAAAAAATTAAATAAAAAAATAAGTATTCCAAAAAATAATTTCTGACATCTAACAAAAAAAAAAAAAACAAAAGCCCAGCTGATCTTTAGTATTAAAAATAAATTAGTATTAGTATTAAAAATAAATTTCTGAGATACAAATATCGATAAGTGGCCACACCGAGGAAATATGGCCAGGTAAGTTTTCATAACACTGGTGCACTCACACAGCCACGCCCGAAGTAAAAAAAAACAAAGTATTTCTAAGATTACCTATGCCCCTGCTAGTCACTAACCATTTTTCTAAGGGAAACCACTAGTCAGGCTCCACAAATTATTACCCCTTCAGACTCAACATGTCTGTGAAAGGATCATCATAGAATATAGAGACTCTGGGTGCAACTACCTTTAATAGCATATATGTGCCACCCATGGCATTTTGTGTACCAAAAAATCCATGCATCCTCACCATTTATTGGAGTCAATGCATTTTGGACCAGGGCTACAGCTGCTGTATAATATTGAACAGTTGAACTACTCCTGGCTTGGCTGTTTATGAACACTGTCACCGTAAGCATCTCTAGTTTATGGTTTGTGAGTCTTACACATTTCTGTTTAAATGCCAAATTGTGTGGAGTAGAAACTCTCAACCAGTTTTTTACATACTCTCCCAACCAGCAGAGTGACATGATTTATACATCATTGGCACGTTTGCCAAACCTTGATATCATTCATGCATTTTCCTTAAACCATTTTGGGTACAACACTGTGCTTTAGGTATGATTGAATTCTCTTCATGTGTACCCAAAACATGATGACAGATATCATTGTGTATGTTTCATCTTAAAGTTGAAGTTGATGCTCTATCAGCCATATAGGTGTAAGGTATATCCTTGGGCTTGTGTGGGCCATAGAAATGTTTGCATGTCACCTTTTGATGGTGATGTCCACATCCCACATAGACAGGTAAAACCCATGTGCCTTTACTAATGACTCCTTATTTTTGCATTGTTTTCCTGTTCCCTATGATGTGTGGAGTAAGTACGAAGATGGTTTGGGAACTTTGAGAAAGGAATACAAGAGGCACAGAAAGTATGAATGTTCTGGATGAAACAAAGTCGTCTATTCAGTATTTGGAGACTAGAACTCTCAAGATGTGTAAAAACTGAAGGACTATGCACTCAGGGCTGGACATATGTATACGTCATGTCTCTGGAGAAAGGGAGCTGGACAAGACAGCCAGTACCTGTGACATTTCCAAATTCTTTTACTTGCTGTATCAAGGCTTCTTTTTTGAGTTATGCCTCCATAAAAGACCGGTGGATGAAGAAGATCAAGATGTCGGTTTGTTTTCCTCCATCTGATAGTCACTTAAATGTGTCTGTCTTTATCCACACAGGTGTGTGAGTACTGCTGGCAGTGAAGGAGGGACAGTGGACAGGAGCCTGTGCAACCAGGATGATGCTCCCTCAGAAACCCAGGCCTGTGCCCTTCTGTGTCCCAGCGACTGTGTCATGTCTGAGTGGGGAACTTGGAGCAAATGCCCACAGGTAATTTCCTCTGTTGATGCCTGAATCTCCCACGGTTTCCCTTCTCTGTTCTTTATAAATTCACGACATGAGTTTTAAGGCTTTCCTCTAGTGACACGGGAGAAGAATATTTCCCAAGAACCCACCCATCACTGGAAGCAAAAGGAAAACAAATGACCAATTACAAATAAGAATGAGCAACTTAAAACACTGTTGCCTCTTCCGAGGCATTCGTATTGAGAATGTGAACAAGGAAAATAGCCTGTAATGATCATGCTGAGAGTCGACCATGCACCGTTTTTTAAGGGGGCTTCTCTGGCACCAAATGACTCCTTATAATGTCTTGGTTCTGTTCCGTTTTCATCCTGGAAGTATCGGTTTCCCCCTAAGAGCGCCGGCCCACTGCGCAATGCTGCTTCTTTCTGTTCATGACTCTGTATTTGCCTTTTACTATTTTCCAAAAGATGAGATCTTCTTTTTCCTACGTTGCTGTTCTTTCCAGAGCTGAAAAAATAATAGGCTAACTATTTGTCTTATTTTTCCTTCTTTTAGAAAAAGGAAAACATAAGAGCAATGTGGAAAACATCAAATAGCATATTTGAAATGGCATTTCCATATGGTAAATCTTGATATTTTAAGCTTATACTTCTGCTTGGAGATAGGAAAAGAAAAACCACAATGAGTTCCAAATAGTGCAAAGAAAGAACTTGGATGCATCAAATTAAATTCTCAGCTGGGTGTGTTGGCGCATGCCTATACTCCCAGCACTCGGAGGACAGAGATAGGTGGATCTCTGTGAGTCTGAGGCCAGCCTGATCTACACAGCTAGTTCCAGGACAGGCTTCAAAGCAACACAGAGAAACCCTGTCTCGAAAAACAAAATGAAAATAAATAAATAAATAAATAAATAAATGCTCATGAAGTGTGGAACAATTAGGGAAATCTTGCTATTACAATGGAAAGTATCTTTGAAATAAGTAACTCACATTTGCATTTATTAATTAGTGAATCCTTATTAATTATTGTAACATTCAGTGAGTTCTGATATGTATTATTTTTATCTGCAGAGTGATTCTGAAGGTAATGCAGTACTAAAATGACCCACCAGTAACACACTCCATCTCAATGCTATTCCTTATTAGTTCATCATCATCTATTTGTGGGAAATTTAAATATATTGAGAGTTTACATTTTGGGTCATGTACTTTGGGCCAGGCGCAGGGTAGGACTGTTACCTCTAGTCCCATCACTAATCTGCCTACTTAAGTACTACTTACTGTAGGTGACTATTAGGCTGGGAGTTGGAATAAAGTTCTCTGTGTATCAAGCCCTGAGCTGACAAGAAACTTATTGTGTCTGAGGAAGACAGAGGTTTGGGGTTTATATCATTAACTCACTTAATTTTGGAAGAATTATGTTCTAGTTAGGCTGAACACAGTTATTTCTTTAAAATGTACTGTTTATTTCAATAGCAAAGTATTTTAACTGCCTGAATAACTCTTCCATGACAGGATACATACTTTCCAACATTAAGATGGACATTAACTCAGTCTTTATTAATCTACATATGGAAGAATGAGAAGCCTGGGGAAGTTTAAGTAAATGAAGAGGTTATGACCCTCCTCACCTGTTCTAACTTACTCACAGAAGATGCCAGAAAGTTCTAGGCATTTTGCTATGGAACTCTTGCTCTCAGGTCAAAGCATTTGATGAAAGGGCTGTTTCTTTATGTAGGAACAGTTCTGATGTTGTTCTGGTGTGGCGATCTGCATTTGATCCCTTGGGAAAGCTGTTGTCTTTAAGTTTTCCAAGTGTAATAATTCTTGGGTTTTGGGGTTTTAGTTTTGTTTGTTTGTTTGTTTGTTTTGTTTTTGAGAGAGAGTTTTTAAAGTGGGGATGAAGAAAATGCTTTAACCTCCATTCATGCATCTTCAAGATGATATAGCCAATTGCTCGCTTGTCAGTGTGAAATAACAAGGCTGTTCCTTCAGAAGCTTGTGTAGTGTTGCATTATGGGAGTAATAATAGCCTTGACTAACGTCAATAATAATTTTGAGCAGTCTCAGGTGACCATCACTGTGATGAATGCATGTAACACTCTTTCAGAACAACAGTGTTAATGTCAGATCCTCAGATCCTTGTTGGTACACTGACCACCGGATCTTCTCCCAGCCACCATGCTAATCTCACTGTGCAGAGCGGCTTTGAACGGGAATCAGAACTCACGGCTGATTACTTCCCTATATCTAAATATACTGCACAGTTGTGTCAAGTTGTGCGATCTTTGCATAATGCCCCGGCATCCTCAAAGCTAATCAGTGCCGACGATGGAGATGAGCATTGCAAAGACAGAGAGCTGGATCATTGTGCCTAAAGTTTAATTAGCATCTTAATGCACATTTCCTGAGGAAGAGGAAGCCATGATTTCATAATTATCCCCTGTACCACGTGTTGATTTAACAGTTCTGCTCACTGTTATCTTACCAAATTTTCTTTTAATAGTCAGCAGTGTGACACACATCAGAGGGGCGAATTCCTTAGTCCTATTTCTTTTTCCATTTCGCCAATATATGAGTGACCTTTATAGGTCTTCAAGTAAGATGGCGGCATGGCAATTAAATCTGTGGATTGCAGGGTTCTTCGAGGACATGAGAACAATGGTATCTATTGTTCCAGGGTGTGTAGGATAGAAATGACATGTATGAGCTGAGGGTGCTTATAGGGTAATGTTGACAGGAGAGAAATGGGGCAGAAGCCTACAGTACACCTCTTGTATTGATTGCAACACGGGTGGGAAACTAGAGGCCTATCGTAGGGCACGCTAAACTCTATAGAAAATATCTCTTCCTCCACACAAGTGAATTCCTGTTCCATCTGACAAAATAATAGAAGACATTCTTTTCCTGAAATGTAACTTTCGTTTCATTTCATCAGAGTCCACCAAATAAGGCACTGGGTAGTTAATCACTGGGCTACTGACCACCTTGCCCATTGCAAGGCAGTTAGAACAAAGCGATGTGTTAGAAATGGTAGCGGGGGCTTTGGAAATGCATTGGGAAGAAGAACTGGGGGATAACAAGGAGGTGAAGGAAACTAAATCAGTCCAAGGCAGAAACTGAAGGAAATAGGGTGCATGGGTTTTACTGTTTCATATGCTTGGGCGAGTTTTGGTTCCCAGGGCATGTATATATCATTTATTCTCCAGCAAGCATAGAGTTACGATTTTTCTTGAATGAGCACTTAGCATGAGCCACAATGAGGATCTGTGTAAGTGTGTGTGAACGAATGCCCTCTGACGCTATCTCACACGTTTTTTTAGTAACAGGGTTTTAAAAGACAGTCCCTTCACTGAGAGCTCATTGCATTTTAAAATAGAACATTTGGTTTTCTGAAACTTATTTTAGTATGCGCGTTACATAATTGAAATGGAGCACTTTGTGGTGTATTTAAGTGAGTTGATTTAATTTCCCCTGTTGGGCACTGATGTTCTAAACTGAGCACATCAGTACTCTGTAATAACCTGCACTTCTGCATGCTTGAGACAGAGAGTGGAGAATGTGAGCTAGCTAGCGGCTGTGAACCCAGCGGTGGGTGTTGACTGAAGAAGGCGGTGACTTCCTCAGTTGATCAGTCTAGACAGGACTGGAATCCTGGAATCCCTGAGCTTTTTTTTTTTTTTAATCCATGGATAAAAGCTTTCTGATTATGCACGAAAACATGAGCTTTCCTTTTGCCTCACTGGAATTTTCGCCGTGTTTCTCATACTTGTGGAGTTTTGTCAGGAGTTCGTTTTAGTGGTTTATTCTTCATTGGTTCTAATTTTTAAATTCTTGTTTCCTCATGTATTAAGTTCTTTCTTATATTCATCCCATCTTTGGCTTCGACATATACATTTTCTAAGTAGGACACGGTGCTTTTAAATGTCTTTGCTGTGTTGTATAGTGATGAAGACTTCCGAGGTTTTTAATTTACCTGTGACAGCCATTGAGCAAGGCAGCTCCAGCTAAAGGAGTCAGGCCTAATGCTGACCTATCATCTGACACATGGTGCTCCAACTGTCACTACCGTCACAAAATCCTGTAAGCCACAAATGCCCTTCTTTCCTGGACAGCTTATCAAAGCAGAGGTCAGTTCTCAAATTTCAAAACATTTAATTGCTTAAGCATTAATTCTGTAATCTTTGTTTGCATATATACATATATAATAGACATACATATAATACATAATTATATATATTGTATATGTATATATATATTATATATGTATATATGTATGTCTATTATATATGTATATAGATGTGTCCAAGGGTGAGTGCTGCTTGATTCAAATTTGTTAAGACTTCACGGTTTCTGGCCAAAATTACTGTTTTTGTGAGGGTACATGTACACTGAAAACCGTTAGCTCCATTTATTATATTTTTCAATATCTTTGAGTCATTATCTGCCATTAGCCCATTGAGGAGTTATAGACTCCAGCTGTCTACTACAGAATGCCATCATAGTTACTTTTCCATCACATTACTCCTGCTGTGGTGATAGTTTTGGCACCATGCTATTTAACACAATAAAGTTCACAAATGCTGGCCTCTGCAATGTTCAGCTGATAGTTTTTACCTCCGAAATTTCCCTTGGACTCATCTGATAAATAGTGTCATTTCTTTCCTTTTCCTGTTTGTATGTTTTCCTGTATCTTCACACAGTTTTCTTCTTATTTTTATTCTCGGCCTTTCTTTTAAGGAAAATGTATTGTGTTCTTGACTAGATCAATAATGCAATTATTAACTTCATTTTCATAAAAATATATAATATATATTTTATGTACATATATATTCTACGTGCATATTTCTCTGCATATAAATGTGGTGGACTTTGAATTAGGAACAAACTCATGAATTATGAATTAATGACATACTGTACATTGCTTCCCTTCTCCCCAAAACTTCCTCTCTTTAAGAATGTAAACTGTACTTAGAGACACAGAGGGTTATGTTTTCACCCACTGTTTTGCATAATAAATCTTATTTACAGATCTGTTTAGAAAATATTCATCTGTTCCTTTTAGACTATTTTTGTGCATAAAGGTGAGATACTATCATGTACATTGTAATTTTGCAAACCCACTCTGAGCAAGCTGGAGTGATGCCTTGAACATATGTTAACTTGGCTGTGACAAATTCCAAGTTCAAACGTGTTAGTGTGTTTGAAGACCACAACTTTAATTTTGAAATTGCATCTCCTATTGTGGGATGCTTCTTTATCCAGCTTCATTTTTCTGTTATTCAATATGCTAAGGTTTGTGGTTTTACATACGTATTTTAGTTTCTGCTCCTAGGAAACCTGAAGCTTTTGAAAATGTTTTTTGGTTTTATATTTATCTTATTAGCTGTCAAACATAAAAATATAAGTCAATTTCTGTGCACCACAGAATCTTTGATGTAACTTTTCAGTTTGCATATGCAATTTCTCATCTACACTTAGACATTATTCTTCCTTCTACTACACCCATGAAATTTGCTTGCTTTGAACTTCCTGTAACTCCGTGTACTCTTTTATGTTGGTTTCATTAGTTAACATTGTGCCTTTCAGCTTACGTTAAAAGAACCACACAGTTCTTTTATGCTCTGCTTCTTTGGCTTAACGCAGTGTTTATGAGATTTATGTGTGTTGTTGGAAGGTAAATCCATTGCCTTTTGGGTGATTGAGTGAAGGCTCTAGAACCATTCCATCAAGTGTTCCTTGTTAAAGGACTTCTGTGTCATTTCTAGCTTAGGAATATGGACACAGTAGTAGTTACTGTGAGTATACTGTAAGATTAAAAATCTGTATAGATATCATTGCTCATTAGCCCATATTTAGAAAATAGGATAGCCCTGCTAAAGGAATCTTTCATTTATTATTATTAATTATTAAAAGTCTTCAAGCAGAATTAAATACCTTACTTTTAAAAGTGATTATTGCTGGGTAGTGGGGGTGCATGCTATTAATCCCAGCACTCAGGAGGCAGAAGCAGGCAGAGCTCTGTGAGTTCAAGGCTGGTCTGATCTACAGAGTGAGTTCTAGAACATCCAGTGATGTTACACAGAGAAACCCTATCTTGAAAAACAAAACAAAAAAATGTTTTTAAAAAATGATTATTGAGTAATTTATATGTGTATGTGTGTGTGCAGTGTGTGAATGTGTGTATGCAATGTGTTTTGGCAGTGTTTGTGTATGTTAATGAGTGTGTGTGTGTGTATGTGTGTGTGTGTATGTGTGTGTGGTGATTGTACTGGGTGACTAGTTAAATTCTTTCAAGAGTAGACCTTGAGCTAATAATCCATTGCAAATTATTTATAAAAAAAAATATTCCCACAATCCCCAGAAGAAACAAGGACAAAAGTAAATGAGGACAAAATGTAAAGAAATCAGAATTTCAGATGAAGTCCTAGGCTGACCTTGGCCCTGACAGAATCTCATGGGCATCATTATACCAGGGAGTTCTGTCTCCTAGTGTATCGCTTGACTGTTTATGGCTGTGCCTGGGTGGCTGGCAAATCTTTGAGGGACTTTTGATTCTACTTAGGGCTTTGGAAAGGTCGGATGAGCTCCTGTGGCAATCACTGGACATACTTGGGCACGTGTCAGCAGCAGTAAGTCAGGCAGAGAGGCACAAAAAGATGCCTGAAAACATCCAAAGACTCTGGCAAGGCTCCAAGCATATCTTCCATAGGCTCATTACTCCCCATTCTCAAATAGCCATTTTCTCTAGCACCATTTGACAGGATCTTCAAATTACATTGTTGCCTTCAGGGACCATCAACTGAATACTTAAGAATGGTCTGTTCCTAATCCATCGATTGATTACTCATCTGTACACATACTAATATGACACTGCCTTAATTACTGGAGATGTAGAGTGTCTCAAAATCCAGTAATAGCAATCATTGTTATTTTTTTTTAATTCTTGAAGCATAACTATTTTATATCAATACTTCAGAGAAATTTTAGAACTGAAGTGATAATTTCTTACAAATTTGTTTTTAATAGATAATATGTAGAGTTTCTACATCAATTTTGACAGGACTGCTGTCTTATAAATAGCTACACAAGCCGCCAGCACGGTATGCAGCCCTATTGTTAATGTCTTTGATTCCTTTTAGCATTGCTTTGTAGCTTTTTACTACAGAGGGGGTGCATCTCTTAATTTACTGCTGTGTTTGCATATTTTGATACTGCAGCAGGTGAAATTGTATTGCTATTTTCTTTTTCTCATTGCTGCCTCCTATTGTACAGGCAGTCAATTAATTTTAAAATACTAACCTTTTATATCACTCTTGTGCTAGATTTATTGATGCCAAAATTATTCTTTCTATGGGAACATCTTCCCGGCCTTTGA